CCGTCGGAGCGCTGTTGACAGTGGGCCACAAAAGGAACAACCGCAGCATAGACCTCTGGAGACTAAACGAGGGGTGTTTAGAGATTTCAGCACAATGGAAAAAGCAGTAGTCCACTGTTGGTTTGGGGAGGAGAAGGGATCTAGGGCAGCAACAAAGCCTAGATGCATGGAACCCTGAACGGACGAAGCTGGTTTTTCAAATCTTTTGGTGATGTGTGGGGATTTCTGGAGTGGGATTTCCCCGTCGCGGTGTCCCCGGGATTGCGGCGCCGAGATTGGGGCTGGGGCCATGGTGTACCTGGGGAGACCTGCTGCATGTGCCTCGGAAAGCGTACCAGGACCCTCCGGCCCACGTGTGCCATGGAACCTGACCGAGGGTGCTGGGTTCGTTATGAGTAGAGGGTGACCTCCAAAAACCGTTGGTGCAACTCAAGCTGTGAAGAAGTGCAAAGGTTTTCTGGCTGGTTCTCACAAAAAAATGAGGGAATGACCCCTGTAAGCCATTCCCTATGTTTTCCTTTAAGAGAATCCCCTTCCAGTTCGTTCCTGGTTGTTGTCATTCCCTACCTATCGCACCAGCAAGTTTTGGCAACGACTGGTGACTACTGGTCATTGCCAGGACAGAGCCAGCCTCCTTCCCAGTCTCCTTGTCATGGCTCTCAATCAGTTAACCCAAGCATGTGGATGTCAGCACCGTTCAGAAACCCTACGGAATGATATGATTCCCCAACATACATACTAACAAACAATCAGTTTCAATCTAGTGCAGGAATTCGTCCCCCGCTGTTCACTAGAATGTTTCTCAGAACCTAGGAAGCCCTATTGGCTGTTTCTTTCGAGAAGGCCCCCCAAAGAAACCGCCCACAACGGTTGAGGGGAGTAACTCTACATTTGCAGACGATTTGGATTCCTATCGAGATTCAAGGAGTCACTTCAAAAAGTAAGTCGAAAGGAGGTTGCTCTAACAATAGGGGTTTACTCCATGGGCTTTGAATCGCTGAACCCTTGCGAGGGTAGCATGCGCTGACAGGTCCTTGCCCAGATTCACTGGTGGATGCCGACCCGTGCTAGGATTCCAGGCCTCTAACTTGATGGTGAACCGGAGCTATAGTAAAGGCTTGTTTGCCCAGTGATTGTGTGGTTTTGTCCTTTTCAGGACACCAAAAAAGGACGCCACCAATGTTTGAAGACACATAAGATACCTAATTTGACACAGGGGCTAACTAATTTACTGATTACTCTTACAAACATGACTACACTTTGGTTTTAAAGTCATTGTGGATGCCCTTATATATTTTCCGAGTGAGAGGTGCTCTAAGATCGCGGACTCCTCCACACAGCTCTTCGCGGCTGGAGACTACAGCCACGCCTTCGGGGAGCAGACGGCGCACCAGCACTGCGACCAGGCGCGACTGCGTCCACCCGATTCGAATCAGGTGCCGCTTTTCGGGCGGCCCGCTGGGGTTTTCCCCTTCACTTGATGTTTTTTGCTGGGAAGCAGGCCACCCAAATGGTATCGCAAGGGCTATTTTCCATCTTGAGGCGTGGGGCGTCGTTCATGGGCTTCAGATCCGCCTCATTGGGCTTGGATCTTAGGGTTCCAATAGTGAAAGATCGGGCGAGTGAGCGAAAGCACCCCTGGAGTTTTCAAGCTGGATTGCCGGCGGGAGCTTTTCTGTTGGGGAACCACTTTTTTGCGGTTTTCACTTGGAAGCCAACAGGAAAAAGCGAAAATCCACGTCCATTGTCGGAAAGGCCTGTTCTTCTATTTGATACAAGCTAAACGTTCAAACGCTGCAGGCACCCATTGGGGCCGTACGACGGCTAAAGATGGGTATGTCGTCTTCTTTGCAAGCGATTTAGGGTGATTTTTTTGAGGGACGCCAAAGCGAAACCAATTCTGGGTGGGTCAGGCGTTTTGGGACGGACCCATATTGGCAAAACACAACAACACACATAGGCCAACCCAAAAGCGAAAGAAAAGAAAAAAAACACTTGTCAAACGACAGACTTTTCGTTGTTCCCATTTGTGCATCCCAACCGCCCTCTCCGGAGAATTTCGGAGATCCGCAAGCTCTACCGAAAAAAGTCACACAAAACTTGCTCCTTAGAGATCCGGATCCAAAGGAAATTGCTGGGTGGAATTGCAAAGCACGAAAAGAAGCACGAAAAGAAGAGGGCTGGCCGTTTTTTGTCTTTTTTCCATACACATTCGAGTCATTCGCATCCTTCTGACATGGATTCTGTGCTGTGCCGCGATTTGGCAGGTGTGTGCGGTGCAGTGTCAGTTCCAGGGCGGCCAAAAGTTCGGCTGCTACGAGGAGAAAACACCAGCAACCCCATGGCACATGCTTCCTTAATGGCTGTGTTTTTTCCTACTAAACCTCTGTCTCGGTTGTGGTTTGGGGGTAGTGAAAACCGTCGACGAAAAGGTGGCGAACCTTGTTAGTCTTCTTGTTTAGTTTAAGGAGTCAAGGGTACCCTTTTTTTCACCTTGGCTGAAAAGGGAAGCTAGAAAGGGATGCTGTCTTTGGGTACACATACCCAAATTTTCAATGGGGTCTCCCTGGCGAGTCGGAGTTTGCTCCCTGTGAGGCCAATTCGCTTGACTCCCCTTACTGCTCACTGCTCATCATAAGAAACGCAGTGAGCCGATTTCGATGGAGTGGACGCATTTCACTTATTGTCTTTCGCCACATGACGGGACGAAACCGCGTCTTCGGCGCTCAAAGTGGTTGCCTTTGTGCGGCCGGGGCTGGCTACGCCCAGATGGACTCTCCCGATTTTTCCTTTTTTTTGCCAGGAAGATGGGCTCCAGGAGCTCAGCCAGAAGTACCAGGATCAGAACGACTATGAGATCCTGCACCAGGATGGTGAGAGGGGGAGAAAAAAGTTTGACCCCCTGCTCCAAGACTCTTTTTTTGTTTGGGGGGGGGGGAAGGGGGGGAAGGGGGAGGGTGCAATGGCGTGAAAGAATTGAGGCTTCGTCCATGGGCTTAACTGGTTCTCCAAGATGTAGGAACGATCCCGTGCCGCCGAGCTGATAGTTTGCCAGGACCACTACGGCAGCATTTGCTGAGCCTCAGAGTGCGCTGGCTGTGCTCTACGGCACTTTTGATGTGCTCCCGAGCCACAAGCAAAACCGAGACGACCTTCCCAGAAATTGTTCAGCGGCAAGAAGCTCTGGTTTTACTCCATGGCTTTAAAGACATTCTTTCAATGCCCAGGTTTTGATTGTGCCTGACATGGGCGCCTTTTGCAACCAGTTTTCAAGTTGGCGCCATGCGCCATGACCCCCAGAAGCGAGGTCGCTGGCGCCAACTTGCGCTGGCAAATCCGTGGCTGGCAGCGATCGCCAGTTTGGGAATGCGTCACTAGACTCACCAGATGGTTACCCACATGCCATGATCATGACGTAAACTGGTTCAAGAGGACCCCCCGCATTTGACATGTGGCTGGTTTTTTGCGCACTCCCTGAGGGGGGGGTCTGTGGACACATCTCCTGGAGTCTCCCTGCGCAGTGCATGGCGTTGCAGCGATGCGTTGCGTTTCGCACCGCGCGTTTATTTATCATGCCGCCCATACGGCGAATCACCCAATGTAAAGTGAGAAAGACAAAGGCTGCAGACATTTGGCCGTGGCCCGGGCAGATTGACTCATTGATAGACCCCTAGCCCCCAACTAGGGCTCCCTCAACAAAGTTTCACTTGAAGCTGTTTTGGGCCACTTGCTCCCATATTTGGGGAGCTGTGAGCCTTTCTTGTTGCAGCTTGCTTGCACGTGGGGCTCCCCTGTTGAAGGTGTTCTTCCAAAAACTCTCAGGGTTTGATGACTTATTCCGATTCAGCACCGGCAGTTGAAGCCATCAATGTTCTCACCAGGTGGGGGTGACAAAATGGCGACACTCTGTTTCCGACCCTCTTACTTGTTGGCTTGACCAAACTCACCTTCTTCGGATGGCTGCCCACTCTCAACAATTGGGGTGAAAGTTGGCACAATTCCTTTATTTGGGTAAGGAAAGGGGGATGACCAATGAGGGGAAGTTGTGATGTCCACTTTCACCCTTTTCGATATTCTCTTGCTGGCCTGGTTCGTGGTGAACCCCCCACTGGTCTCAATTGTGTGACTTCCAAAGGGCTACGATGGGACGCTGGACGTGCCACGAAGCCGCGGGTGCAAACTCCTGTTGTTCAAGTGGGACATCAGCACTTGGCTAAACATTGTGAGTGCTAAAATCCCCATGAATATTTTTCGACCTGGTATGATGATAGGTAGTTGCGAAACAAACAAAACACCAGCATGGACCCCAGAGAGCGAAAATCAGGCTTATGATTGCACGCCCGCACCTCTAACAGCACCAAGAGCAGCGCCCCAGAGAACCCGTCCAGCAATTTCGCAACCCAAACAGCACCCCCCAGAGCACCCAGTCGCGAAATGCAAAGGGAAAGCCGCCGTACTAAAGGTCAACATGCATGCTTACCTTCTTGATACCTTCGGGTTCTGTACCCATTGTGCACCTCGAAAAGGGGAGAGGATGTGGTTTGAACAGCGTGGTATCATGACCCCTGAATGACTTAGGTATGCGAGCCCAAAAGCTGCTGTCTGCGCGCTCGATCAAGCCGGCCCAGGTGCTGGATGCCCTTCGAGAGCTCGCCCGACGTGGAAAGTTCGGGAAAAAGTGGCCAAGGGTTGCTGCTAAGGAAGGGTACATGCGGGTCGTCTTCTTTTTTTTTGGGTACCCTTCTTGGGGTTGGTTTCAACGAGAAACCAACAGGAACAGCCACCGGCAATGGGGTACCTGCATTTTGAGAAAGCGTAGATGCGGTTGCCTTTTCTAGGCCATTTTGGTATACATGCGGGTTGATACAACTCACGAGTTCATACAACTCATGGTTGAAAACCCAGGGGTATGAACCTTGAGTTGTATCAACCCAGGAGCATCAACCCAGGTCTCAAGGTTCATACAACTCAGGGGTTCATTCCTTTTTCGAAAACCGCAGGTTCCCACCTCGCTGGTCTTGGCCCCGGCGGTCTTCGGCTTGTCGCCGGCGCTGCGGGACGAGCCGCGGCCCGGGGCCCCTTTCCGGGTCCACGGGTCTTTTTCACCGCCCCCTTGGGTCGGCCGCGCGGCGGTTTCTGGGGGTATGCTGTGGATGGACGAAATCTATTTCGCACCACCCAAGAAACTGCAGCGAACATTTTTGCTGGTATTTCAAGGGGAATCATCAGAAACCAAAGTTTCTTAAGTGGTGCGAAGTGGATTTCGTCCATCCACAGCTCATGGTTGTTGTGCAACCAAAACAGCTCATGGGCTTGGGCTCAAAATAGGGGTTTTACCCTCGCCAAATTAACCAATAGCGATAAGCAAATAGAGTGGTTTCGCATAGTTTGAATAGAAATAGATGGGTTCCACTGGGTTTAGATTGTATTTGCCCTAATTGGCCGGAAACCATCTATTCTTCATGGTCACAGGCGGAAAGTTAAAGGCCTTTGAGCTGAAAGACTCCTTTGGTGAGCATATGGGGGTTCCTGAAATGTGTACGACTTTTGGGGCCAGAAATGGTGGACACTGACATCGAACTCCGGTGACTTGCGTCGCCCCCTTGGCCGGTATCCCATAGGGACAATTAAAACGATAGCCAATAAACTAGGCGTTGTCTTTTGCCTTTAGTAGGGGATAGTACGAGAAAAGGAAACAGTCCCATTTGTCTTCTACCCCTCTTTCTTGACAGAGCTAAAGGAACAGCAACTAGAGGACTTCCTCGGCTTTCCTACCCCCCCCCCCCCCCCCCAAAATGCCAGACCCCCCCCCAAAATGATGGCCCAAAACCCTGTCACACCCTGCCCTTTGGTTCCCTTCAAGCCAAGTCTTCAAAGCGAAGGCGCATGGGTTCGCGCCGTAGAGCCGGAGCTACCATTTTTTCTTTGCATTTTGCCAAGGGATGTTAGGACTGAACAACTTTTTGTCAAATGGGTTTTTCCATGCCACTAAAAGTTAAAAACTTTTAGCGGGGGAGCAGAAGGCAACTGAGTTTTGGTCTTGCCGCTGCGATAGGGAATGAGAAATGGAATGACCGGAGAGAAAGCGAGTTGTGTAAGGCCCTTGTTGGTGGAAAGTAGGGCGGGGGAGGGGGTTGGATCCTACAAGGGCGCGGCAAGGGGCGAGAAGCAAAGGAGTACCTGATACAACTGTTGGTAGTTTCAACGGGGTTGTTACGAACAAAAGGGTGCTTCAAGGGGGGTAACTCAAGCGAAAGACCCAACGGATCCCCACTTTGGATTCCATTTGGGTAGCTGACACAAACTATCTGCAGAACCGTGCTTTGGGATACCGATCCTCGCAGGGGGCCGGGGGGGAGGGGGGCTCCGACTGTGAAGCTGATGGCCGCGTTTATACCCTTCCAATCCGGGGCTGCGTGTAGCCATCTCGGCTTGGCTCCCTAGAAACGAAGAGCCAGTCGCCCGCCAGAGGCAGGGTGGGCACGATGTCAGGGTTCCTTCGGGGGCTACTCCTTTTGGTTTGTGCGGGGTGAGACACATTTTCTTGCTGGTGCGATTAAGTAAGGAATGACCGACTCAGGGTTTGGGAATGACCTGGAAGGGGATTCCTGAGTAACGGAAACCGTAGGTTGGATGGTTTTTCTTGGGGTCATTCCATTTCTCATTCCCTGCCGAGTTTTGTTTGAGGTCCTTTGATTTTCCGCTGTCTCCCAGTATCCGCTCCGCTTTCCAAATCCACACACTCCCTACCCGACGATCCCAGTGTTTTGAGAGTGGAATAGCCACGCCTTTTAGATGAGACTCGCGGGGTGCTTCGGGCAGGCTGGCAGGTCCCGAGATTTTGAGCTCCCAAGACTGATGTGTTAAAAGCTGACCTTTGGGTTTTCCCAGTTCGGTCCGCTGTTTTGTCAAGGTTCCAGAAAGGTGAACCTTTTGTTTCTGGCTTTTCTCGGCAACTGAGTTTTGGGTCCCAAGTTTGTGAGCTCCGATCCCTTAAGCATCTTCCCTCAAGAAGGCCCTGGCCCCTTCACTTGCCAGGCGCCTGGCAGGCATGCAGGCCCTGGCGAACGCGCCGAAAAAGGAGGGGGGGGTTGGGGGGTTGGGGGGGTTTGGGGGACGCCTTGGGGTTAGAAGCCATGGGCGCGTCATCAAAGGCATGTTGAGGTTGGGGTGGCGTGTCGTCACGGGCATGTTGAGGTCCGGGTATTGGAGGTATGGAGTTTATATGCCTGCCTGACAATTATCACGGTGTCTTTCAGCTCAGTTCGGTTGAACATAGATGGTGCTGGTTTCTGTGGTTCTGTGTGCTTCTGATCACTCACCAGGGCCGATCATTTTTTCCGAAAAGGAAATCAGGCATGGCCCCCTCAAGTTTGGTTAATTGACCACTTTAATAGAGAGGCCCCTGAAAAGCAGTTGGTGGACTTCTGAATCCCCCAAATGACATCCTAAAAATCCGTACTCAGTTGTGTGTAAAACCAGGAGTGGTTGGTGTAGTACCCCGAGTCACCAAAGAGCCTTTGCATTCCTTTGCAAAACAAAAACCAAAAAAACAACAAAACAGCTGTGACCTGCTTCGAGCATCGACATCTTTCTGGGGAGGAGGGAGCTGAATGAACGTGTTTCGAGTTTCTTGCCGGGGAAACACGCGTGTCTTTATTTGTAAGGCACGGGAAATTACATGGATTGCCCCTTTTGCCCAGAGTTGTGGGAATGAGGGGAGTATTCCCATCTCCCCTTCTCATGGAGGAGCAGTCTGTTGGAAAGGCCGCCTTTTCTAGGTCTCACAGTGGAAAGCAAGTTCAACCACAGTCCATGGGGGAGGGACCAGCCAGAACTGGTTTTCTCGTGTCCTCTTGGGCAACCTTCCTAGTTTTCCATGAGGCGCAAACCCCGAGACATGGGGGGTGTTTGGAGATTGGGCCCTCAAAATGGCTGATTTCTTTTGGTTCCCCTTTAAAACCAACCAAAAAGGGGCAAAAGGGGTCCCCCCAAAAAGGGGTCCCCCCCTCCCCCCAAAAGGCATACAGAAACCTCCGCACGAGGACTTGGTGCAGAAGGAGCTGGAAAGCCTCAAGCCCCTCACCCAGCCGGATCCTCATCCCCGACGCGCAGATCGCACCGGCGAAGGAATTCCGGATCCCTCAGCTGGGTCTTATTCTTACTGCCCTTTTTACCGTTTTCTTTTTTGGGGGGAGGGTTCCCCTACTAAAATAGGCCACAGCAAAAAAAGGGTACCAACTTGTTCTATCCTCTCAACTGGAGGACCTAGCTTGGAGCGGTCACATTTTGAGGTGATGTTGTCGCTTCGCACAAGGTTGCAAGGTTCCAAAGGGTACCAAAAGGTTCTAAAAGGTTGCAAAAGGTTGCAAAAGGTTCTAAAAGGTTCCAAAAGGATCGAAAAGGTTGCAAAAGGTTGCAAACGGTTGCAACGTTTGAGACGGTTCCGAAAGATTCCAAAAGGCCCTTAGGTCTTATATACTTGTTGGAAGGACACTGCAACCTGTTTTTGTCGGCGGGCTTCTTCATCATTCGTTGTCCCCAAAGTGCTTTGAACTTTTCCGGCCAGTCAACCCAGCAGCTTCCCACTTGGACACCCCCCCCCCCCGAAAAGTCGCGCTAGTGCCTTTGCATTGCTAAAAGCGTGCGAGTCTCTGTGACTCAGTTTGGGGTCAGATCTGTGCCCTCGAGCCTGGAAGGTGCGGGTGTGGATGCTCCTTGAACTTTGGGGTGGCGCTGATCCTGTGCTGCTACCTGGCGGGGCTTTTGATTTGGGGGGAGGGTAGGGATGGGATGGTGGGGAGGGGGATGGTGCCGGAAAATGTGCCACCAAAAGCCGGCAGTCTCCATCTGACCCTTTTGCAAATCGGATAGACCCTCCAGGTAGCTGTTTTTGAAGGCCGCGTCGAACATCGTGCGTATGAAAAGGCCTCAGCTTCCTCTTGGAGGTTGTCTCCAAACCGCGGTCCTGCCCGCTAGATTCATCATGATTCCCCCAACAGTGCACGCTTTGGAGGGAGCGGCTGAGCCTAGCTACAGGGGCAACTGTCCAATTGGCTTCCACTCCCCCCAATCTACTCCGGGGGTAAATACCTTCACTGCTGTTGGCAGGTGTTTAGGCTTTCCGTTTTTTCTTCTTCTTTTTTTCTCCCTCTTTTTTTCTGTTCATTTTTAGTGGGGGACTGCAACAAGCACAGTTTTTGGCCACCATACCAAGGGTCGTAAAGATCCTTCTCAGGGGAAAACTAGAAACGTGGTTGATCGCAGAACGTCTGGTAGGGCATCCGAAAGCACCTCATATTCTAACTCACTCCCTGAGTTCCTGCACTTTACACTTTTTTGGGAAGACCATTTTTTAGAGGTAAGCAAACAGTTAGGACTTTTTTCTGTTGCTGGTGTACTTAGGGGTTGGGTTGGAAGACCATTTCCTCTAGAAACCCTTTGGTGGGTTCCATGCTTGTCGATTTCTTGTTGTTTTCTTTTCGTCTCTCTATAGACTTTGTTTCTACCCCCATGCCCAAACCACTACTCCTGAAAGGAAACCACCCCTTGATGTGGACCTTACAGACGGCGTCGGCCTGGTCATCGACCAGGTCAACGAAGGATCTTCACCCTTTCTGGCCGCATTTGGGCCATTTTGGATCCGGCCGGGTTTCACCTTTGAGGCCTTGAGAGCCATTCACGGTCTATGCAGGCTTCGCATAGATCCCTTGACCTTTGTACATGCGTCTTTCTTTGATGACATCAGGAAGGAGTGGTTTCTTCTGCAAGCTTAGCAAGCCGGCTTTCTTCCAGCTGAGAAGGAGAATTGAGGGAGACTGGATCAGTTGCGTGGCTACGTAGTGGTACATATCACAGGGGATACCGTCGAGTCACAGTGGACGAGACGGAGGTTTCACAAAGAGCGCCTTCGGGCGCCGCGCTAAGGAGAACGGACTCGGGCTGCACTCACACGTGGGGTGCAGTCCGAAGAAAGAGACGGGTGGTTTTAAACATCACTTTTTGGTCCTTGAAGGTGAGTAGCCCTTGGTGGGGGTGATGTGTTAAGGGGAAATATAGGGAGCCCTG